TGGCCCAGAATTGCCGGAAATGGCTGTACAGGTTTGTACACATCCGACACCTCGAACGTCTTACTGATCACCAACGAGAGAGGTACGCAAGCCACCTGTACATTTGCGAGTTCTTTTGTTCCCGTCTGACATGTCTGGGATGGACATGGCACTTCTTTGGACCCTTTCACGTCTGAAGGCTTTCTCTCGCCTAGTCTGGCTGATTCTGGAAGTTCGACTTACCTTGGCAAAAATGTCCAGTTTATACAATCCCAGTCTAGGTGGGCGTATAATACAGAAAAATCGGACCACTTCTTGGGGTTGTTTGTCACCTTTGGTTTCCGCGTTCGACTGCATCAGCATGGAATGATGAGAAATCGAGTTTGAGACTAAATCCTATGCTCATGATAGTGGTTTAATGAAAACAATTCAGTCAAGCTGTCTTCTTACTCCATGATTGTCCTTCTCAAGTACGGATAACTGATGAAAGACAGAAAGCATTTGGGTGTTTTTGTCCAATATACGATTGCGTGGGATTTTTATCTCGAATGCAGCATCTCGTTCAACATAAATCTTCATATTTCGTTCGTATCTGGAAACTGCTCTGCATGCCTCGTTGAACACTTTCGGCTGTAGGGAGGGGGACAGTTTGAAATTGTGAACGACCGGGGTTTCTATAGAGTGTCAACGTTCTGAAAGCGAGAATATTTCAGATTCTCTGTTCATCTAGATAATGTAGTATACATCTATCTTTCTTATTGTTGAACTATTCGAATGTACTGCATGTAAATCCTGTGATTAGATGGACCGTGTGACCATGTTCACAACAATATACCCTGATCATGCAGGTCAAGTCCAACCAGGTAATGGAGGGAGGGGAGAAATAGATAACAAGTGGTCACCTCGTCTGATCGAATTGGTCAATTGAATCAACGTCCAGTGTTTGAAACAGTTGTGTCATGTGCTTGACTGTTGGCTATGTAGGTGAGTGTACATGCACTCGTGTGTGCGCACATTTGCATCCAACATTGACATCGGTATCCATACAAATGTGCTCTAATTACGTTCCCCAAACGTGATACCTTTGTTTCGGTTTTAAACGCCAGCTCTTCTATGCTTTGGTTGCTGCCTGACAACTATCCGCGTTGACAGGCAGTAGGTAAAAGGAGGAGATCAGATCTTTGTTAATCTGTTTATTGTACTTCCTTTTATTGAGTATACAGAGACAATTTTCAGGAAGGGAAGAAGCGGCATTCAATACACACAGAATGGGGAAAGTCAGGTGGTAGTCGTGGTGGGATTCGAGCACACATCCCCGGGGTGATAATTTAATGACGTTATCGCCGGGCTACCAGCGCACAGATAACGGGCTTCGAGAGGTTTACGGTGATCGAGGTAGGGTATATTTGAATGTAGTTTGGTGTAAATTAGGAGCGGTAAATTCTATTGCATCGGCCTTGGAAACGCAAACACGATTAGGCTAAATCCATACACCATGAACCACAAACTGATTAACAGAATCTGGATAAGTCATATTCACCAGCCTTCTGTATACCTAAAGACACGTGGTCAAAGATCTCCCGGTCAATGAGAACGGACCCGTTTGATCAGCGAAAAGACTTAGTTTATTCTCGCACTCCATACTAAAAAAATATCGCTATACATCCGAGCCGAGGTGTAACCCAAACTGCCCCAACATGTGTTGCCATTGTTTTGTTCACTCCCCTTTCGCTCAGTTAGATAGGTATTCACTTTGACTACTTTGAAGCTTTACACTACAACATTTCTGTTATCTACTAGATAAACTAATGAAGGAAGAATGAAACTGTGAGTAGGTTTCGAAACGACAGTTGTAGAATTAATGAAAACCCGATCTAATGGCTGTCGTGATTTCAGATAGCAATGAAAGTCGCGTCCAGCAACAGGCTCACACCGGACGAACGTTCTTGCAAAACGGTCGGAGATTAAAGTACATCGACCAAGTTCAGTCGTGACGAGCTTCTAAGCGGATTCCGAAACTCGAACAACCAAGTTACTACTGGTTAACCCTGAAGAGTTACTGTTGTGACTTCATTTAATCTGTTCAGGGACACGAACACGCTATTCAAAGCAGTCCATCGGTGAATCGAAGCAATGATTCTAAACAGTTTTTGATGGGATAAATGTAACTAACCGCGATGAATTTGGTTAGGCCATTGATAAAATATTTTATAATAAGTAATATGTAGATGACCGGAGTGGTCGTTTGCATCTAATCCTCAAAATATTGTTTAGCGCCACAGCTTTGAATCACTAATGGGCTACTCTGAACGGTATGGCCACACAAAACAAGCCCTTTGTCGCTGACTTTCTCATCAGCGACACGGGGCGTATTTGTGACGAAATTATACACACGGGATTCAAATATGTAAATGACGAGATGAAAGACTACTAGATACGCATACGTGACAGGCGACAACTACTGCAAAACTGTTTGTGTACTTCCAGGGAGGTTTTATCCTGTCATTCACATACTACTTATCACAACACATGTATATACAGTCCAATGCTTGAACGGACTAACCGAGATGTCAACATTTTGCGAAATTTGTCTTCGTGCTTTTTCAAGTTGTATCATACGCAAAAAACGTCGATCAAAACTTTTCAGAAAGGAAATGGGGAATCTAATTTTGTATGTATCCTTTCCGAACATATTTAAAAAGCTAAAGTATCAGTGCATACCAGAAAACGCCACAATATCACCCAGCATTTGATGTTAATCTCTTGTGAGTTGCTTTACTATAGCGTTCCCAACCCTCTCCCTTTACCCCTTCTACCGACCTGTAATAATCCCCCAAGCAACTTGGATGTCGCTCGCCAAAGGTCATTGCCAAATAGCACTGTAAGTGATTTACCACGGAATGGATTGCAGATTCTAAAGCCTCGTCAATCACTGAATCTGGGGGCCTTCAANNNNTGGCTCGTACAATGGAATCCTTAGGAATCGATAATTGCTGCGTGCCGGAAACTCGGATCCAGGATCCTACTACTCTAAGCCACTTGAGCGCGCCAGATTTGTCGACGAGATACGTCCTTCGCACACCAGGCGACGATGAAGCTCGTTCAGTAGGTCAGCGCGGGGTAGGTATTGTACTCAGTAATAGGGCGAAGTCCTCTCTAATCGATTGGATCCCCATCAACAGTCGTTTATGTGCAGTGCATCTCCAGGGTTCAATCAGCGTCCGGAAGGTAAGCAGCACTAAAAGGTGTTTGTTTATCGTATCAGCATATGCACCGACAAATTTCAGTTCTGATACCAAAAGGGACGCTTTCTACGATGAACTCACCGATCTCATTCGGATGA